AGCAGACTTATGCCAGTCCTCTCTGGTCCTTCTGATAGAAAGAGGAGTGTTAAACACCTAACAGCAGACTTATGCCAGTCCTCTCTGGTCCTTCCAATAGAAAGGGGAGTGTTAAACGTTTTTTGAGGAAAAGCAACAACTTGTGGGAATGTTGGAAATGGCGTACCACAAGTAGTCTTTGTAATTCCTAAGAATGAGGAACAACAAATTGGGTGATTTCCATGTCCTGGGTGTCAGCAAACTGAACTCCAAGATTGTCTCGCCCTCAAAGCTGTAGAGGGAAAAGCCTCATGTGAATCTGCACGTGAACGAGCTTCGAGTCGGAGACCGAGTCAGCCTGCACCTCGAGTAGCAGTCTGTATGTAGCTCAGGTAGCTGTTAACCTTAAACAAGAATTTCTGGTTAAGAACTCAGCTGCTAACCGAAGAGTTAGTGGTTCAAACCTCCCCGCTGCTCTGCAGGAGGAAGATGAGGCAGTCTGCCTCTCTCAGAACTACAGCCTGGGACACCCTATCATGAACTACAGATTCATTATAAATCGGAATCGACTCAATGACAATTGATACTTGGTTTAATTCTTGAGAATTTTTGTCCCAGAAATAAATATAGGACTACATTAAATAGCATCTCTGCGGCTTTAATAAACTGCATTTTCTCTCTCTCTCTCTCTCTCCTATTAGCGTGCAGCGGTCTGACTACTTGAACACCTTTGAGTTCATGGACAAACTCGGAGAAAACTTGCAGCTCAAACTGGCGCAGGCCAAACTTTAAGATCAGGTTAAGCGCCTAAGGTTTTCTTTGGTAACTAGCTCCCACTGGTTTACATTTTTCTATATAACACTCAAGGGTAAGACAAAATGAATCAATTTTGTAATTTGTTTAGAATCCAGAAGTTTAGCTTTTCTACACGTTTAGTCTTTTTATTATACCTTCCGTAATCGCCACGATCATGAATGTGGCAGAAGGCTGGTTTGTATAACAGCCTCGGAATCACTTTAGTCCTCCTTTGTCCGTACTGCCACGTTTTCTCAAGTTCAGAAACAAATGACCAAAATCCCAAGGGCTTGAACAGGTAAACTGGCGCCGCAGGCTTGTTCTCTTGCAGATTACTCTCCTGCCCGAGTCCACGGTGTGGCATGGAGCTGCGCCCTGAACGTGTGCACAGCTTAGAAGAGTGAACATGAGGATCACGAAAACGTGTGATGGGCATTTTTGTAAACTGCTCTTGCTGGCCGTATTGAGATGCTGAATATCTTTGAGGATGCAAGAGAGTATGAAATCCAAAATCAATACTGCCTGGAGCTCAGCCGCCTTGTGTTTGTCCTTCCACCCGGTGTGGCCAGTTTACCCGAAATCAAACTGGGCTGTCAAGGCCAATGAACTGAAATCTGAACAGACGTGAATCTTTTTCATTCGGGTGAAACAGACCGATAACCAGAATAGGAAAGATTACAGCCTTGAGCCCTGGCATAGGAGATGTGGAACTGGTGTAGCAGCTCTCTCGAGCCTGATACAGGTTACTGCCAGGACTGCGGGAAGTGACACACAGCCATAGAGATGCAGTCATCCACAGCTTGGAGAAGGGCACCATCGTTCCCTACTCTGTATGTCAAGAACATGCAACACACGTGCTGTCCTTGGTTTTTGTTTTTTAATGAGGGAGATGAAGTTTCTAGCAGGGCACCAATCTATGTTTCTTCCTCTCCTGATTAGCATTCTGGTTCACTCACATTTTCAAACTCAAGTCATTTCTCGATCCACTTCCTAAACCGTCATTGAACCAGGAAGAACCAGTTCGAAGCCCTGCCCCAAGTAAATTTTTCATCCAAGTGCAATAATTTTACGAGCTGCATCTTTTTTGGACCTCTGCTGGCCTGTTTTCTTTCTTTTATATAAATGTGATTTTTTTTTTTTAGAAGTTAATGTTCAACACTATCCGAGTCATGTTCCTCCTCTGAATTGTTAATTTTAAATAAAATGCTAATGATTGTTATTTTGAGTTTGTTTCACTTGCTTTTTGTCGTGTATATTGTAGATGCTGGGCCTGTGCCAGTGTATTTCATTTGAAAAATCGCGGCCTTCAGGTAGTCCGTTGACCCGTGATGGGATGGGTCTTTTCAGAATCAGGAGATGGAACTGATGGGTCAACTTTAGACCCATTTCCCTTAGTGCCCCCCTCTAGCCCCATCCAGGCCCACAGTCCCAGGCAGTTAGTTCTCTGACAGGAGGCCCTTGTGAAGCACAGAGCCCACTCCACTCAGGTCCTTGGTCCTTGGCTGAAGTTAGAATCGAGACCACGTAAGGTCTTCCAGAGGGATCAAAAATTCAATTTTCCCATGAGGTCATGCTTTTAATTCAGGGAGTGGGGTGGAAGGGGGCTAATGCTTCAAATTCAAGCAAACAAGTTCCCATTCAGAAACAGGAAGGAAAAGGGTTTTTTCCTCCCGCTACACTTTTTATTTTCTTTTGATTGTGTAAAATGCACACAGACACACAAGGGTAAGACAGAATGTGTTGCTACAAAGTCAGAAACCTTTATTAAGCAAAAATATCAAATTGTGAACCTATGGTTTCTTGACATCCTCCAGCTAGGTCTGTACACTTCAGAAAGCAGTGTCTTCATCTGTAACCCTTCCCTGAAGTATTCTGCTCTCTTCATTTCAGACCACAGCAGAGTGGAAATGTGGGCATTTTGAGGGACTCAAATAATGTTCCTTTTCCATATTCTTTGTGTTTTGGAAACAAGTCAGAAGGGTCAAGATCAAAGCTGCCAGGTGGATAGTGTGAGGGTGTGTTTTGTCCACAAAATTCTTGGAGAACAAACCTTGCTACCCTCAAAGAATAAACAGATGCATTATCATGATGGGAAAAAACTGTGTGTTCAATTTTTTTAAAAGAAAACTTTATAATAAGTCCTTGTGTTAGTCTGGGTTGACTAGAGAAACATTCATAGACACTCAAGTGGGGAAGAGAGAACTTATATCAAAGAGCAATTGTACATTAAGAAAACAACCCAGCCCAGTCCAGATCAAGTCCATAAGTCCAATATTAGCCCATATGTCCAATACCAATCTATAAATTGCTCTTCAGACTCATGCAACACATGCAATGACCCCAAATGCAGGAAGGTCACAGGCCAATGGGTGGAAAGTCTGGATCCAGTGGCAGTGGAAGCATCCCAGCACTGGCAGGGGTTTCCACATAGCTCCTTCAACTCCAGGGCTCTAGCATAGCTCCATGTGGCTTGTCAACAGGAATGTCTCACAAGAGAGTCTGTATGTGTTCCCCCTCCAGTCAGCTATTTATCTTCATGCTGCCTTCTAAATGAGGTCATCAAGGTGGGACCTGATTGACAGATTAAGCTCCACCCCTTCACTCTTAATAGTCTCCAGTTGACGTATTATGTAACTACCACAGTCCTCATGATTGTCCATTGTTCTTCAAGAAAATGTATCATGCTGACCCCTGTACAACATGGTAAGTTCAAACAACAGAATGGGCACAGGGGAACATGTACATATCGCTCAGTTCCTGGGCTGAGGCCCAGATACTCTGGCAAGAACCAAGCCAAACACAATGGTGCATGCTTCGTAAAAAATTTTTAAAAAGATAAACATAGCACCTGTGTGGACAGATATCCCATCCCCCCATGCCTTTATGGCTCACGGAGGGGTATAGGAAGTTAAAATATGGCAATGGGGGAACAGGGCATACCTTCCAACCAAGGGGAGGGTATTATGTCTCCACAGGAAAGGCAAAGAAACATCTCATTTTCCTGGAACTTGTTCCTCCTTGTAGCAGCTCCTCGAAGCAGCTCATTCACAGAGAGGACTGCAGAGCTGGCCTCAGCTCAAAACATGGCGTCCCCGCCCTAGAAGACAGTACTATAGTTCAGGGAGTGTGACGCTCTGCCCACAAAGGGACAAATCAAGAGGAGAGTGCAACAGACAGGCCAGCAATGGGAGCAAAGTCACAAAGTCCCTGAGGAAGCTCAATTATAGACTTCTGACGTGGGGTGGGTGGGTGGGGGACTAGACCACTCCATCCTTAACTACAAGAAGGGCAATGGGGTCCTATAGAAGGCACTGCCCTTGGACATGAACACTGAGGACTGAAGGGATGAGAGATGTTAGGTAAGCTGGTCTTGGGAAGGATCCCTCAAAGAAAAGGGGATTGGACTGAGGGATTATCACAGGGTCTGCTAGCTATTTAACAGAGGGAAACTCATCAACTCTGGGTCAGGACAACAGATAGACTTGGAGTTATTTCTATGGTCTCTTGTTTTTCTTTTCTCTTTTGGTGTCTATATAAGATAGGCAAGATAAACTATCCCAAGGAGATGCAATGGGACTGACAGTTGAGGGTAGAGGGCATGAGAGAGGAGGAGGCATGGGGAGGGAGCCAGAAGTCAATAACGACAGGGACGGGAATAGCAAAGGATATAAAATTGATGGGGCAAAGGGTGTAGCATTTTGGATTGTGTTTGACCAATTGAAATATATCTGAGAGGAATTACTGAGGTACTAGAGGAACAATAGGGAAACAATAGTGGGGCAGGAGGAAAGACAGAGGAAAGAACTAGAAAGTAATAACCATATAAGTATATAGATATGTAAATATATAAAGATAGGTGTACTAGTCAATGTGTGGTGCGTGTGTGTGTGTGTGTGTGTGTGTGTGTGTGTGTATACAATCACTGAAGACAAAATTGGTGTATAAGCAAATATGGTGAAGAAAGCTGATGGTGCCCGGCTTTTACAAGATACAGCATCTGGGGTCCTAAAGGCTTGTAGTTAAACAAGTAGCCATCTAGCAGGGAAGCAACAAAGCCCATCTGGAAGAAGCACACCAGCCTGTGTGATCATCAGGTTTCCATGGGAATAGGTATCAGAAGTTCAAAAACAAGCCATCAAATTGACGTGAAGAAGCATAGTCAAAGTGGAGATCAAAAACCCATCTGTAATATAATTGAACAGTCCTCAGAAGGGCCACATGGAAGGGATGATAAATCCAGGGTGCAGTATAGGACTGATGAAACATAACTATCCTCTAGTTCTTTAATATTTCCTCCCCTTACTACTATGGTCCCAGTTTTACCTCATTAAGCTTGTTAGACCTGTGAATATTCATTTGTATAATGACGATCATTCGATGCATGAAATCCAAGATAGATAAGCTCGTCAGAAATAGTAATGGGAGCAATGATTCCCTGGGGATAAAGGAAGAGATGTGGGGAGGGGGAACTGGTAGCAAAGATGATGGTACAAACCCCTGGAAGCGAACGAATAACAGAATTGTAGGGGGATGGATACAGTGGGTGGTGTAAGATATGGCTAATAATAATAATAACTATAATATAAGAATAAGGGTTCCTGGGGGAGTTGGGTGAGGGAAGGAGGGAATAAAAGGAGCTGACAACAAAGATGTTCAAGAAAGAAAATCTTTTGAAAATGATGGTGTTAATAATTGTACAATTATGCTTGATCTAATTGAATGATGGATTCTTATAATATCTGTGAGAGCTCCCAATAAAACAATTTTAAAAACAAAACATTTAAACACACCTAAAACAACCACCACGGTGGTTGAGTGAATTTCACCTCAGCAACAGCCTAGACAAGAACTGCTCCCAGGGTCTCCTGGGCCGTTTTCTCTATGGAAGCAGGCCATTCAGGGCTACCCTCTAGGGCAGCAGTCTGAAACTTGTGGGCCGCGACCCCTTTGGGGGTCGAACAACCCTGTCACGGGGGTCACCCGATTCATAACAGTAGCAAAATGACAGTGATGAAGTAGCAACGAAAATCATTTTCTGGTTGGGTCACCACATAAGGAACTGTCTGCAAGGGTCGCCGCGGCCTGAGGAAGGTAGAGGACCGTTGGCAGGGTTTGGAACTGTATTCTCAAGACACTTCCTCCAGAACTTTGACATTGCTAACTTCCCAAGTAAACTCTGAAGAATGTAAACTACTGATAAAGCCTCATAACTTTACCCGTTTTTTTTATTCTAATATTCTGGAGCAGTGGTTCTCAACCTGTGGGTCATGACCCCTTTGGGGGTCGAGACCATCGGAAAACACATAAATATTTCAAAATATATAATTACATTGTTTTATGATTAATCACTATGCTTTAATTATGTTTAATTTGAAACAATGAAAATACATCCTGCATATCAGATATTTACATCATGATTCATAACCATAGGAAAATTACAGTTATGAAGTAGCATGAAAATAATGTTATGATTGGGGGGTCACCACAACATGAGGAACTGCATGAAAGGGTCGCGGCATGAGGAAGGTTGAGAACCATTGCTCTAGAGGTACTTTGCCTATTTTGAAATTTTCCAGTTTCCAAGTGTACTTACCTCTTTTTGCTAGATTATAAGGCATCTGACTTATTTTTTTTAGATCATATTTCTATTTTTATTGTTTGAGATAGCCTGCATATTGGTGACTTAATTAATCCTGCAAATTCATTACCACACCTTTGCATTATTCCATGAAGTCTTACAACTTGGGATTCCGCCAACATTGAATTTGGCTTTTCCTCTTGATTAACTTTTTCGTAGGAGGGGATACCGTGGCTTCTATCTTCTTTCTCCGTTATCTCTTTGAACACGATTCACCCAAGCAGATTTGTGTGTGGCCTCTAATCCTGATGTTATCTTGGGAAAGCAGTTCCCATAAAGCCTGCCACCTCTTGGAGGTACTCGTCTGACACGTCAGACTGCGCCAGCCATCGGCATTGTGCCTGGTCTTCAGCCAGTACTTTGTTACTGTACTCTAATGTACTTCTTTACTATGTATGATAAGGGAGTGATTTTCAGAATAGTTGGAGCTAGCTTGGGCCTCTTTATCCTTATCTTCACTATGAAGACTTTAATTCTTACCCTTTTGTTATAAATGTCAAGTTGCGAATGACCTCCATTTCTGCAGGCAATGTTGGAAAAGTATAAGACCAGAGGTGACTACTTTACACAATCTCCCTGCT